TCTTTTTTTTTTTTTGTTATCATTGGTATTATTATTATTATTATTATTATTATTATTATTATTATTGGAGGAGTTGGGTTTGGTTTCAGTCTTCAGGCTCAACTCTTTGGGGGCTCGTTCATTGTGGTCACTGAATAGAAGAGTGAAGATCAGCCGGTCATTTAAGACTGAGCGCAGCCATGGCTCCAACGCGGGCCAAAGATGCAGGAGATCAAATATAGTTTGCACTTGTCACCCACCACTTACCTCCAGCGTGCTGCTGAGGAAAGCCTTTTTTTTTCCTTTTTCTTTTCTTTCTCCAAATAATGAGGAGGATCCCCTTGAATTCATGCAAGTTTTCATGCATGTAAGTATTAAACCAAACAGGGGATGGGATCAGCGTTTCTTTCTTTTTATTCCATCTTATATTATTATTATTATTATTATTATTATTATTATTTCTGATGCTGTACCATTTCACCTAATGAAGGAGAGCGCATTTTCCACGGTGTAAAGCCCACCACGCAGATGATCCCACAGAATGAGCTGAGACGGATTCAGACTCCGCGCATGCAGCAGCAGCAGCGAGCAGCAAGCAGCAGCAGCTGACTCCCTCTCTCCGCGTCCAGATGGCTCCTGCACACAGATTTGCATTCATTTCCCCCCCACCACCCGCCTTTAATATCTTCTGAAATAGCGGGGGGACAGCTGCATTTGTTGTCAAATACGGTTTAAAACTCCCTTTCAGGACAGCATCGTTACCTACGTGACGGGTGTGGAGATCCATTTTCCCTCTCCAGTCAACAGTATCAGATCTAAGAGGATTTGTCTCAAAAGTCTCCCTAATTTGATAATCAGATTTAAATCGCCTCGGTGCGTGTAATCAGGGGTTAAGTTCTAATAAGCGACTTGAAACTGTTCAAAAAAAAAAAAAAAGGTAGAAAGAAAGAAGGAAAGAAAGAATGAAAAAGAAATGCAATTTGCACAAACAACAGACAAAACATTTGCAACATGCGTCTCCTTTAAGAGGAAAAATACGATTAAAAAGGCGTCAGACATTTTTCTTTATTATTATTTTTTTTGTGTGTGCAAACTGAAAGTGGGATCAATTATAAATTTGAAAAAAAAAAGTTTAAGCAAAAGCAAATCTTTATTTTGTGACTGAGCAATTTGGCAATAGATTTTGCAGAGGTGAAAGCAACAGCTTATAATTCACTTATCTTTGGCAGCAGCTATTAACCCTCAGCACCAGCTAGATAGATTGCTCAGGATATAGCACACATCTCTCTTCCTCGCACCCTCCCCTTCACCCGCGCTCACACCCCCCACCCCCTTTTCACCACTAATGAACCGAATTGCTTGCTTGTCCCTCTCGGACAGAGTCGGACATGTAAGGCAGTTGGCCTCTTTAAAAATGATTAAAATGTTTCTGATTATTACTGATTTTACGGGACGTGCATGAAATAAGAGGGAGGGCAGAGAAGCCACGCGGCGTGTGGGGGTCTCCTCGAAGTTGTGTCTCTCCGTGACCAAAAAGTGACAAGTAAATAAATAAGTATTCACCTTCAATAACTGGGATCAAAATTTCACTGATTTACGGCAATGCGAGAATTATTGTAATTAGTGTAGCTATTTCATTTCCTTGGCTCGTCCATTAAAGCGCAGAGAAATTGAGAAACTCTTTTTCTTTATGAAATAAAAAACAAACAAACTTGATAGTGTTGCAATTTCTCAATGGAAAATGAATCCAATATAAAACATTTATAATGACGAGTGATTATTTTTAAATGAAAGCTGAATTATCCGTGTCATATATATTAATTGTGCTTTATAAACTTTAAAACATTTGTACAAATGTGGAAAAAAAAGTGAAAATTTTAGTACAAGTATAAACGTAATGTGCTCGTATTGAAATATTATTTTTGACGTTTCCAGAACAAAATTATTATAAAACTTCAACAAGGTAATATATATATATATATATATATATATATATATATATATATATATATATATATATATATATATATATATCTATAAAATATATATCTATATCACAATAAAAATAATCAAACAAAAATTAATCGAAGGAATACAACAAAATTCACCACTTTTAATCAACAGAAACTAAAGAAAACTTGCGATCATTAGGCCATTTAAAGAAAAAAAAGAAACATGAATTCTGAAGTCGGAGTTATTAACAAGCATTCTTTTATTATTATTATTATTATTATTATTATTATTATTATTACTATTAATATTACCACTATTTTTTTCTCTCTCTCTCTCTCCTTATTATGTTTGATGGTTACACCCCGCTCGAATTGTCCATATCATTAAAAAAGTCAAACTCACCACATATAGGGGCCTAAGCAAGAAGGAAAAAAAGTGGAGCGAGTGAGTGTTCTCATGCTGCTGCACTAAATGGGCTGCACCCGCGGAGTGGAGCGCCGCTGCCTGACAGGAACCGTCAGCGCTCCGTATATGGTCAAAACCCCGCCCCCTTCAGCGTCACGTTCTGACAGCGCCTCTCCCGTGGGTTTAGAGTTTTGGCTCCCGGGAAAGATTTCAGTCCTCGGGGAAAGAGGGCTTAGTTTTGCATGTTCCCATCCATCCTGCACGACGCGAAAGGGGCCCCCTTATCCACCTCTCCTGTGTACGAGGAACACCTCCACTGGTGATCAGCCTTTGCCTTCGTGTGTTTGTCTTGCGGAGAAGCAGCGGCAGCAGCAGCAGCACCACCAGCAGCAGCAGCAGCAGCAGCAGCAGCAGCAGCAGCACCTTTTTCCAGGAGTGGGGCTTGCTTTTTTTTTTTTTTTAATTCAACGAGAAGTCCTGAAGGTTTTGGATGCGGGCGCTTCAGGGATGTGGGCACTTTGAGAGCAGCAGCATCACCCACAAACACAAACAACTGCCATCGATTTTTCTCTGAATAGCACAAAAAGACAAGAGAGAAAAAAAAAGAAACAGAGGAACAATAGCAAGACAAAAAAAAAACAAAACTCGTCTATTGAACAATTCACTTTTGCAGTTTGTGGATACCGCTCTAACTAAGTACAGCACTTTGAGAATTGCTCACATCGGACGGACTGAAGAGGGAGGCAAGACCTGTGGACCGGGTTTTTTCCCTCGCAAGTCTTATCCCGCGAAGATAAAACCCTGAAGGATAACACGCTTGGACGTTTATTTCCCCTAATTTCACAGGAGGCTCTTCTCTCTTTTTTTTTCCTTCTTCTTCTTCCTCTTCTTCTTCTTTTCACGCAAATTGTCCTAAATGTTTGGGATTCAGGAAACTATACCGCGGGGTGGGACGACGATGAAGGAGGAACCGCTGGGTGGACTGAACTCGGTCCGCTCCTGGATGCACACAGCTGGGGTGGTGGATGCAAACACAGCCGCCCAAAGGTACGCATGCCAAAAAATGCATCTGATTTTTTTTTTTTTTTTTTCCCTCGCACGCATTCAGCTCCTCATCATATCGACCCCTCAATCCCCTGAATACTCTGTATCAATTACGGTCTCCCAATAAAATGCCCCCCCTTCGGCTTTTCGCTTCTTTCATTACATCAGATTAGCCATTATTGTGACAAATCAAGAAATCTCCCCCGGTTTGTGCTCAAGCGTGCTTCTGCATCCTCAATGTTTCTCCCCCTCCGCCAGCTTCTCCATCATCTAGTGGCATATCCCCGGTGTCCGGTGCTTTAACCGAGATGGTCTCTTGTTCTCTCCCCGCAGCGGTGTCGGCTTGGCACGGGCACATTATGAAAAGCAGCCCCCTTCCAACCTCAGAAAATCCAATTTTTTCCATTTCGTCCTGGCGCTGTATGACAGACAGGGTCAGCCCGTGGAGATCGAAAGAACAGCTTTTGTGGACTTTGTGGAGAAAGAAAAAGTAAGACGTTTTAATAAATAAAAAAAATAAATAATAATAATTTTATTATTATTATTATTTTAGAAATAAATGAATCTGCAAATAACATGCACATGTTTCCAAATTATGTTCTCTGAAATTATAGAAGGGGGGAAGTCACGTGTACTATTGATTTCTTTTTCTTTCTTTTTTTATTTAAAACTCAATTCGCTTATGACAGAGAGTCATTTTAACCACTAAAGCAGATCTTCCTTCTTATAGAATTTAAAATATGCATGCATTTAGATTTTTCTATTTGATTAAAAAAACAAACACGTCTGTTAGTTCTGGAAAGCTGTTTCACTGATGCTAATTTTCACAAACTGTTGTCTTCTGCAGGAACCAACCAGTGAAAAAACTAACAATGGAATACATTACAAACTACAGTTATTGTACAGCAACGGTGAGTAAAACTAATAATAATAATAATAATAATAATAATAATAATAATATTAATAATAATACTTTATTTTGACATACATTTTATTTTTATTGAACGTTGCTTTATTTGCAAGCTAAAATTCATAAAACATTTCTAAAGTGCTCCTCTTCTTCTCTCCACCCTCCACCACCCCCAACCCACAGGCGTCAGAACAGAACAGGATCTTTACATACGATTAATCGATTCCATGACGAAGCAGGTAAGCTGTTTGTCACACTTTAAGTTTCTTTAACGCACGGCGCAAAACCCCAAAGTGCCGTGCAAATCGTCACCCCCTAAAGCCAGAGGGGGTGACATAACAGAACTTATGGTACAAAATAAAATCAAATTACGTGCGTAATCAGAAGAGACAGCCTCTATTTTTGACTGTTTACGTTTGACCCTACATTATTGCCATACTCCTAAAAGTCAATGTCACCCTGCAGTTTCCTTTCTTTCTTTCTTTCTTTCTTTTGGCTTCTTTGTAAGTTCACTTTGTCCAAGCATTAAAAATTTACGCATCACCTCTGCTCCATAAGATCTGATTTGACTTTTCTCTCGCAAAGAGTCAGAGGTGACGCTCTAAACCAGTTTTGGAATAGTGTTTTACATAAATACACAGATTTTTTTTTTTTTAAATATATATTATTATTTTAATTTTAGTTTTTTTCAAAAGGAGCTTAAAGCCTAAACGCACGGTGTGGATTTTTTTAATCCAAAGCAAACCCGATTACAATGAAAAAATAGATAGATTAAATTAAATGAAATATTAAAAAGGCCGCGCACACATGCATAATTTTTAGCCTTCCCTCCACCCCCCTCCCTTGTTTTGTTATTAAAACAGGGGGTGTGGAGGGGAGGCTAGGGGGGGGGGGGGGTTTAGATAGAGCCGTGAAGCTTGGACAACATTCCTGCGCGAATGATCCGAGTCAATGACGCAGAACAAGCAATTTATGGATTTCTGTTACTGCAGTTGCAAATAGCGACATAAATCAAACCAATATAGATAATCGCCAGTTACAAGCGGGTAAAATACTACAAAAAGGAACGAGGGAGGAGGGTGGAGGGGACATAATAAAACCTGCAGGTCAAACAAGTTGTCTTTTATAATGTGAATGATGCGACCTGGTTCAGATGTGTCACTCCTTTTTTTTTTCCTTTCCCCAAACTCGTTTTATGCTGTTGGCCTGAAGCGTGCCAGACGATGATTGAATTTATTAATGGCAACACAGCGAAAATCAGCAATAAAATTATCACCCTTATTATTATTATTTGCTATATCCCTTTTTATTTATGAACGTCGACATTTATTCATTTGTTTATTTCACTCACATTTGCACGGTGTGTCTCAGCCTTGTACGAGGGAGTAAAAAAAAAAAGAGAAAGAAGTCTATCCTTAGAAATAGAAGAAGGAAGGAGAGGAGAGGGAGGGAGGGGATGGAGGGAGGGAGAGAAGAGCGGCAGAACTGATAGCTCCACGCCATCTGTTTCAGCCAATGCTCAAAAATTACTCAACCGTACCGCCAGACACCGCTTTTTATCCACAGAAAGATCATTGTTAGCGGCTCAAAATAAACAACAGATTGCCCATTAACACTTTCCCCCAAATATCCCCAGATTATAAGCATATTGATGACACTTCTATTGGATCTCTCCTCGTGAAAAATCTCTTCTGTGTGTCTGTGCGAGCCACAGGATATTACCGAGATTAATAATAATAATAATAAATAAAAATAATACAGTTTATTATTAGGCTATTTCTATAATTAACAAAAAAAAAAAATTGTGTGCTATTTTCATTTTTGATAAAAAATACTATTGCTGGATTTAAAAGATTTGTTTCTGCTATTTTTATTATATTTTGGAATTGTTGATTATGATTTAAATAGATGTTTGTTTGTTTTTAGAAATAATTTGCACATGGCAACCGCATTTCCCATTCAATTTAATATTTCGAACTGTCTTTACACTGTGTGTGTGTTTAGAAGAAGAGAAGTAAAATCAGTAATAAAAAAAACACAACTATTTATTTATGTTGCAAAATAAATTAATACAATTTATTTCTGTGTCATTTTGGTTTAAAAAGGCCATAGTTTATGAGGGTCAGGACAAGAATCCAGAAATGTGCAGAGTTCTTCTCACTCATGAAATCATGTGCAGGTAAGCAATGTGTATATATTTTTTTTATTATTATTATTTTTATTTTACACTGATGCGCTGTCCATGTTGCAGAACCAGGCAAAATCATTATTCTCTTTCCCTCCAATAAGTTTTGACACTTTTGATGTGATGCAGCAGCCTAAATTGTTCTGTGGTCCTTCAGCAGCCACACACACACTCACACACACGCACTCACACACACACACATACGCACACTGTGAGCCAGAGCGAGAGAGCTAGAGAGGAAGAGAAAGCTGCTGTCATTTCCAACTTTGATATGATGTGATTAGACTTTGATACAAATATGACAGTGAAAATGAACTGACTGTCTTTTTTTATTGAATGGAAATTGACATAACCACACAAGATCCAATTTCTTTCTTTCTTTTTTTTATTTAATGTGATTTCTTTAGGAGCTGCATGCCACTGTTAATGTTCTGTTATGCATAAATGCAGCATGCAGCGCATTCTCCATCTCTCTCTCTTTTTTTTTTCATTTTAGTACAGAGTCATTTCTCGCTTGATCCCACCTGTCAACACTGATCAGCGAGCCTTTTAGTGTCATTTAAACCACGTAAATCTCAACAGCTCACGTTGCACCCGCCTATTCATCGGTGTCACTGATACTAAAAGGAAAAAACTCCTTTTGTTGTTATTGTTAAGGCTCAGCGTGAGCTCTGTGAACACTGAATTTGGATACTGTCGGTTAACCTCTCCTTTGTTGCACCCGGTGCATTGTTCAAGTTGTGCTGGTTGGGGAGCAGGAGCAGCATGAGAGCTGAGAATGATTTGTCCTTTTTCATGCATAAACTCATCACTCACGCTCAATTTATACATGCATCCATCACTTATTTGTGACACACTGAATATGCTCGTGCTGAAGGGGTAATTTTTTTTTTTTTTATCAAGAGGAAGTGCATTTTGCTGCTGCATAAACTAAGTACTAGAACCTATTACGACATATATAAGAATGGTGTTTTGATATATTACCTAATTCTATCTTTTTTTTTTTTTCCCCAGCTTGTTTTGAATTACATTTTTTTCTTTCCTTTAATACATCTCAGCTATAAAGCTCACCTTTAATATTGCCTCTTGTAAATAAGGGACACCCAGATAGTGTGTGGTTGACTGACAGAAGCTTTGTTTTTCTCCTTGCAGCATATGGCATAAATCAATCCCATTCACATACGCTGCTACGTTTTCATCTCAAACGGAAGCCGAGACGATGCATTTGTTTGTTGTTGTTTTTTTTTTTTCTTATCCACTTCCTGTTCCTGAACCAAAGCGGTGATAGGCAGCAGCTATAGCTATAGGTTTTCTTTCTTTTTGTTTTTTTTGTTTTTTGTTTTACAGTGAGGAAAGGGCTGGAATAATGTGCTGGAAGATAGATTAGTGCTTTTGAGGGCCATAATTGATAAATGCCCCGCAGAAATATTGGTTGAGGGTGGCACCTTGCATCTCCCTCAGAAATAGCAGCTTGGCAATTAGAGGTAAACAAAAGCTGAAGCTGTGAAAAGTGACTCCCCTGCCTCCTGGCCCAGTCCCCACTCCCCTCCCTTCCATCGCTAAGCCAAACAACACAACATGTTGTTTTCACCATTTTTATCAGCCATCAGCATCAATGGGATTGGGTAGATTGAGTGAAGGAAATCTCAAGGCAATGTCTTACCACTCTGATGTACTTAGCGAATAAATGTTCTGATATTTAGCTAATTATTTGTTGGTAAAAAAAAATAAATAAATAAATAAAAATAAAAATCATTTTCTCTATGTCTCCAGCCGATGCTGCGATAAGAAAAGCTGTGGAAACAGGAACGAGACCCCGTCAGACCCCGTCATCATTGACAGGTAAGGGTGTGTGCATCATTCTGCATGCGTATGTGTGTGTGTGTGTGTGTGTGTGTGTGTGTGTGTGTGTCTGCAAAGAGGCAATGAGTGGATGAATGAGAGTCACACCGACTAAACGGATGAGTGACGGAGTGCTTGATCTCCCTCCTGGTGCACCAGTCTGGCCCATTTGGGCTGACTTGCATCTTCCAGCACCACAGTGTGGGAACCGCAGGCGAGTCTGTGTGAGAGTCTGAGGGGCTTCTTTCCCAGGTAGCCTGTGCACCACCGAGGGGGCGGTCACCACCTGGATAGGGTCTGTTGGATCACAGGTGGTCGAGCCACTAGAGGATCATGCCGGGAACAACGTCTAATTAGCTCGCTCTTATCTGGCACGCTGTCGTATCTTTATTTTTTGACAGCGACGCCGTCAATAATAATTGCTTTTCATTGACTACTTCCTCCACTCGGGTGAGCTGCTCGCTGGGCCGCCACTAAAGTTTTGTTTTCAGGGGGGGGATAAACACTTTATGGCTGCTGTTTTGAGCTCCACCTGAAGGGAAGTTGCACCTTGCACGTTTATATTACCCTCGCCGCTAAAGAGGAAGAATAAAAGCTCCTCTCTACAGGCACTGACATTTCTTTCCCATGCCAGGGCAATAGGTCCTGGTCAGCAAGGGGTTTGTTTAGGTTCAACATATGTGTGTGTTTGCATGTGTGTGTGCGTGTGGTTGGATATAGAGGTGATGCAGGGGGTTGCAGCCTGAGCGTTGGATCTCAATGTAACTCTCGCCACGTAGTGAGGGAGGCAGCAATGCTAATGTTTGACTAGCCGGAATCACTGTTTGCTTAGCGGAGAATGCCTGGTATCTGACAGAGGGGACAACTCTCTTATTAGTAATCAAATAGGGCTGAGCAGTTGTTGCTGCCACTCCACTCCAGCGGCTTCTCATGCATCAGGAAGTAGGGAGCCGGCTGCCCTGGGAGCCTGGATGGATTACCAGGGCTACTGCTGTCTGAACCCCAAACTCACACAGACACAAATGCATGTCAACACACACACACACACACACACACACACTCGGATGGAGACACAAGTGCAGCAAGAGACACGCTCTCTGCAGGCGTGCATGCACATTTTCTGTATGTTGTTTAAACTACTGCTCTGGTTGACTGTCATATTTTTATACAGCTTGGGAGAAAAAAAAAATTAATTAGGAGACCTATGTACAATTCAAAGTTCTTGTGATGTGACTGTAGCTCTGAGTTTGAGTAGTGCGAACATTTGTTCTAATCCTACAAACATCAAACAGCGTTCCTCCGAAATCTCACTTAAAGATATTGTCGCTATGAGTATTTTTTGCAGCAAGAGAAAATGTTAAAATAAACTAAGGGAAAGAAACCAAGTTCATATCGACTTTTAAATATCATGTTCTTGATGGTTTAAGTTAGGATGCGTTCAAGCATCAGTACTCGGTGGAAAATCAAGATTTTCAATCTCAGCTTTCACTTGTCTTGGCGTGCGCTCCATAAGTTTTTCCTACTGATGTTGAGTTGAGGTGATCACCTAGTCGGTGCCGCGGTACACTGACGTGTGCTTCTTGTGTTGATCCGATTGGCTTTCACGTGGAGATGCTGATTTCAAAACAATTCGCAGGGGTCACTTTATACTTTGAGAAACTCATATCTAATGACTGCGGCAGGTTTAAAATAATTTTTTATTCACGTTTATTTAAAAATTTCAAATAAAAACTGGAACATTTGTTAGATTCTAATCTGACATCTGATCTGGCAGGGGTATGGATAATTTTGTCAAACATTTTTTTTGTCATATTTTTACAATGAGTAACGCAGTGCTGCGTAATCCCTACAATTATTGGTGCACACTTCTGGTCAGCTGGCTGAAATAAGCTTACTGTGGTTTTCCCTTGTTAACAAGAAAAAACACTGCATAGAAATTTTTTTTTTAAATGGTTCCAAACTATAGTTAATGGAGGTTATGCACAGCATTACTAGAGCTAGAATTCAAAATAATTTGTATTATTTGAGCAGTAGTAGGCATAACGGTGGGTTTTCAGATTTAAAGCAAAAATTACATATATGCACATTTTACTTTGAAATCTCTCTTTTGGCCTATGCCAAATGTACATATATATTCTTTAAGGCAGGCTCAGTGGATGTACACCAGTCTGAAAAGCTGCATTTATTAGTCAGGTGGAGTTATAAAAAGATTAGACTAAATAATAAATATCAGCTTTTTGCCGGATTTCCGGCCCTTTCATCTTTGCTTTGTGTCGTTGCTACTGTTTAAAGTTTCGCACACCATTGTCCCTCGTTCTGATCGGACAAAGGAGTGTAACTTAAGTACAATAAGCAAAATGAAAGCAAGTAGAATTAAAGTCAAGAAGAAGGGGTGGGAAAAAAAGGGGTGGTAAAAAAAAAAAAAAGGAGAGAAGCGGATGGATATTGTAAGCTCAACCGGCTCAGGGAGGGCTCGGATTTTCATTGTGACGACTCTGAATAGGAGCAGAGTATCCCTTTCCTTGCACAATGAGCAGCTCTGTTGAAACACAAAAGCATATGTTCCTCATTAGACCCTCCCATTGTCTCCATGTCGTAACTATGAGCCCGTCAGCTCACCCTAACAGACCCACGCAGGTTCCCAGTGACTGAGGGGGGGGGAAAGCTCGCGGAGAGAGGGGCGCCTGTGAAAGTTTGCAGAGTTTAGCAAGAGTTACGGACATGACCCGAGCACCGAGCGCGCTTACTTACTGTACGATTATTTAGTGCAGTTACTTGACTCTTCCTGCAGTGCATATGGTTAAGCTTTTAGTTTAAGCCCCCATGTTTTACAGCCATTTCTGTTACATCTGTCATTTTCCCATACACATCATTAGAGGCACCTGTGCTGTGGTCGCTGCTGGCAGAAACTGATTATTTCCAATTGAGTAGAACATAGCTGAGTGACATAAACCTAGAGGAGAGGTTTGATTGTTGAATCAAGCATGTCTCATCTGTCTAGAATTACAGCATGAGAGAAAAAAGAAAACAAAAAGGAAGAAAGAAAGAGAGAGAGAGAGAAAAAAAAAAAAAGCCCAGCGAGCACTGCCACATTTCGTTGAGAAACAGTAGCATGGCTGAACCTTAAGAAACAGATTTGGAGTGAATCATTGATGGCTTTCACTCTCTGTAACATTTTCCCAGATGGTACGAGGGGGGAAAGCGCACACAGCTAGCTGGCATCTAGCAAGACATTAACTGGCTTTCCCATGGATCTGGCATATCCAACGGAGTTTGGGAAACTTATCATTCCAAATGTGTCCTATTTTCCTGCGGTCAAGCCAGACATCTGTTTACCCTATTTTCTCTTGGAGTTTTGATACAGATTTTCACTCAGATTTCTGAAGAGGAAGGATTCTCTTAAAAAAAAAAGAAAAAAAAAGAAAAAAAAATGTTGGTTAGATATTGGCCCAACAGCTGTCACAAAGTTTCAGCTCTACTTGGGCTTTAAATATTTCAGCAATTACACTAGATGCCCTTGCATTATTCATATTTGGTTTTGGATGAAGAAAAGTCCTATTTTTGATTAATTCTTGTGGTTTCATATCAGGCATGGGGCCGGCATGAGGTTCTCACGGTGTGTACAAGCGCCACAAAAAAAAAAAAAAAAAACAGTTATCTGAGTGCTTTTATTTAAAACTGGAACATTATTCATACTACTAAAATGAGATTGTGTTGTTTATTACAGTCATGGTAATGTTTCGATAGCATTTATTTGTAGTTATTTTGAGTCTGACGCATTTAAATGTGCTTAATGTTATAATCTTGTTGGTAATATCATTATGAAGTTACTATTATGTGGTTAATTACAGAGGTTAATTCCTTAGAAAAAAACAGAAACCTGTCCTTTAAAATTGTGTTACACTAATAGGTTGATAGGTGGCGCTCTTTTAGTTTCTACGTTGTATTTTACTTATTTTTGGAGACTAGAAATATTTTGTTTTTTGTTCCCACCAGTCAAATTTGTGTTTCTTGTAGAAGAGGAAAAAAAAAAAAAAAAAGAAAAAAAAACGGTCGCAGCCATTCATTTGGCCAGCTGACCAGCAGTGTGCAGCAACAGATAGGGCAAGAAGATTACTTGCGGTACGCTATACTCCATACAACCAGATAATTAAAAGGCCCTTAAACTGTAGCAATGATATGACAGACAGATTTATGCAATTTAAAAATCACATTTAAAAAAATAAATACATATTATACCTTTAACCCAGCCTCTCCTCACTTTGTATTTACCATAACTTCTTGTCAGTCAGTAATATGAATGTGTTTTTCAGACATAAAAAGTGGAAAAAAAAAAGGAAAAAAAAAATTCATAGCCAGTTGGTGCGAGAATTAGATTCATCTAGAGACTAATTGTTGTGATGTTGCTATGGCCGCATCCCCTTCCAGTTTGCATAAATCTGGCAGAGCTGCAGATGTCACTTTTATAAGTTAATGGTGCTTTAAAGTAACTGGGGGAGCAGGTTTATTTAGTCTGTAATTTAAATCTTGAGAGTTATAGTGATGAGGTACCCAATATCTGATTAGATGTTTTTCTCCCCCCCATTTACAGTGCGCGCAGCATATATCCCAAACATAACTTAATTTACGACGACTCCTCTGGTCTGGGATCTGTCTTCACTCTTCTGCATATTGACTTTGTCTTCTCTTGTGTGAAAGATTAGATACACTGGCCAGTCTCTACGCATGGATTTTGTAATAAGGCGGCACATGTTGTTGAAAGATGAGAGAAAATGAGTCATTCTGACTGTCTGGGTTCAAAGGTCACCTTTAGCCTGGGAAAATTGGGAATTTTTGTTGTTTTTTTTTTTTTTTTTTGACGGCAGAAATCAGACGGACAGTGTGTGAATTCTGGTTTTATTGTATGTTCGTGAGGTCGGACATCCTGTCTCGATTTTCATTGCCATTCGCAAACAGTTTTTGGAAGAGAGCTAAACATGTCAGCTTCATTTTTTCCATCG